GAGACGTGTCAAAGCACTTCACCGAATATAATGTATACTGTAGTGACTGTATTTTGTGAGCGAAGCTCGACAGCCAATCGCACACAGCAGTGTCCCACAAACAGTCGTGGATTGAAAATGGGGAGAGATAAAACAGTAATGACTTCCTTAATTTCTAAAGTTGCATCTGTTTGTACACATGTAGAAGAATCCTCTCCGTACATTAAGCTGAGCCCAAAAGAGTAGGAAATCTCCGAGGTGGGCCTTGTGCTGTCATCCCCATCTCTGTGTGATGTTACTGCAGTTGGAAACGCTGGGTAAAAAACCTGGGGATGACAGCAACAAATTATATTTACACAACACCCTTTACATCGGGAAGATATCACAAAGCCCTGTCACTTAGGGCAAGTTCAGGAAACAAGTAGAGATCTTGTGACAGTGGAAGTGAATGATCGCGTCATGTACTTTGAGATGTCCTCCTGACATGAAAGGCGCTATATTAACATCAGTGTTATTATGGGAGGAAGTACACTGCCCTCAGGCTCAAAAGCAAGATACTAAAGCTGCCCTTCCCATCTGATACCTAAGGAAGAAGAGTCCTATAGCTCAGTGGTTAGAACACTCGCCTCGCAAGCGAGAGGACCGGGTTCTATTCCCGGCAGGGTGAAACCTTAGGCACGTTTCCTTATTCCACACGCTATACTCGTTATGTTGGAACCCGGTTGTTAGTCGGTTGTCGGATTGGTTTTCAGGGTATTAATCCCTTAAAAAAAAAATTTGGTCACTCAACCCACGACTGTGCTGGACTGTCAAGGATTTGGACTTGAGCTGGGGGGTTGGGATCAGGAGGGGTGGAGACCAGGGAGGGTGGGGGTAGGAGGTTGGCCAAAGGCGTGGTTGAAGAGATGTCCTGAGACGTGCCTTGAAGGAGGCAAGGGAGGGAGCGAGGCAAAGGGAATGTGAAATGGAGTTCCAAAGAGTGGGGGTAGAGAGACTGAAGGCCCGATGGTGGAACAGACAAGGCAGGGGACGTGAGCGAAGGGAGCGGACAGGTTGATATGTGGCTAACAGGTCAGAGGTAGGAAGGGACAAGGCCGTAGAAGGCTTTGAAGGCGAGGACGTGAATTTTAAACTCTATCCTCTGGGGGATGGGGAGTCAGTGAAGCTGGACAATGTTGCAGCGTTGGGGGAAGGCAAAGCGGGTCATGGCACGGATGTGGGGGAGAAAAGATAATTGAGGGACAAACAAGATGCCAAGTTTCTGGACTGGCTCGGTGAGGAGGTGTTTCAGGAGGTGGTCACCCCACAGCACAGAAGGTTCATGAGGAGAGTGAGTGGGTGACCACCCGGCATGGAAGGATGAGGGGACGGACAGTGTTGAATTCCCTGAGAGTGTGGCACTACAAACTGGTTCTCTGTACTGAATGCTGGTGAGGGTGATGACACCTTTGGGGAGTCAAAAGCAAATGGATGCACAGGGGGACACAGGGAAGAGTGTCAATGCAATTGTCATTGGGAACACAATGGTGAAAAAAGTAAACAGGCATTTCTACAACCAAAGACATGACTCTCGCTGTTGTTGCCTTCCTGGTGTCAGGGTTGAAGACATCACGCAATGGGTGCAAAACGTTCTATAGGGGGAAGGGAACATCCAGAAGTCGTGTCCATGACATAGAGAAAAAAAGGGCTGAGATCCTACAGGGAAAGTATCAGAAGCTAGGAAGAAAGCTAAAGAGAAGGACCTCAAAGGTAGTGATCTCTGGATTAATCCCAGTGTCTCGTGCAAGTGAGTATCAAAACAGCAGGATCAACCACATGAATGCATGGCTGGAAAAACGGTGCAGAAAAGGAGGGCTTCAGGTTCCTGGAACATTGGGACCAGTTCCGGGGCAGGTGGGAGCTGTACAAGGTGCATGGGTTACACATGAACAGGGCTGGGACCAATGTCCTCGCAGGTAGGTTAACAATTTTGAGGGAGGAAGTGAATCAGTATGTAGCAGTAAGAGAGGACAAACAAGTTGCATGGAGGGCTGGGACAGATGAATAGGATAAGGAGTAGTCCAGAAAAAAGGAGGGATTAGACCGGGGAGAAACGCATAACAGACTAAGTCGGTCTTGGAGTGCATGTGTGTAAATTCACACAGTGTGAGAAATAAGGTTGGTGAGCTGCAGGCTCAAGCTATGATGTAATGGCAATAAAGGAGACCTGGCTCAAACAAGGGCAGGAATGGGAGCTGAATATTCCTGGCTACAATGTATTCAGGAGGGATAGGGAAGGAAAAACGCCTTTTGAAAATCCATATATACTACATCAACTGCACCACCTTCATCCACCCTCTCCGTTACTTCACACACAAAAAAACGAGGAGGTATTAAAAAAGGTTGAAAGTGCTCAGGTAGATAAGTCACCCGATCCGGACGGGATGCATCCCAGGACACAGAGGGAAGTCAGGGTGGAAATAACAGAGGCTCTGGCCACAATCTTTCAATCCTTTTTGGCCACCAGAGTGGTGCCAGAGGACTCGAGGGTTGCAAATGTTACTCTTCTGTACAAAAAGGGGCAGACAGATAACCCTGGGAACTGCAGGCCAGTCAGCCTAATGTCAGTAGTGGGGAAACTTCTAAAGACTATAATCCTGGACAAAATACATTTTCACTTTGAAAAATATGGGTTAATAAAGGACAGTCAACGCGGATTTGTTAAAGGCAAATCATGTCTAACAAAGCTGATAAGAGTTTCTTGATGAAGTATCAGAGAGGGTGGATGAAGGTAATGCAGTTGATGTACTTTAAATGGATTTTCAAAATGAGTTTGATAAAGTACCACATAAGAGACTTGTAAGCAAATAGAAGCCCACGGTATTAAGTGGACAGTGGCAGCGGATACAGAACTGGCTGGGAGACAGAAAGCAGAGAGTGGTGGTGAACGGTTGTTTTTCTGACTGGAGGGAAGTGTACAGTGGTGTCCCCCAGCGGTCAGTATTGGGACCACTGCTGTTTTTGATCTATATAAATGACCTGGACTTGGGTATAGGGAGTACAATTTCCAAGTTTACAGATGACACTAAGTTAAAAAAAGTAGTAAACAGTGAGGAGGATAGTAGCAGACTGCAAGAGGACATAGACTGACTGGTAACATGGGCAGACACGTGGCAGATGAAGTTTAATGTGGAGAAATGTAAAGTGATGCATTTGGGGAGGAAGAATGAGGAGAGGCAATATAAGCTGATGGTACAATCTTAAAGGGGGTGAAGGAACAGAGAGACCTGGGGTTCATATAAGCAAATCTTTGCAGGTGGCAGGACAGGTAGATAAAGCTGTAATAAAGCATACCGGGATACTGGGCTTTATAAATAGGGGCATAGAATACACAAGTCAGGAAGTTATGGTGAACCTTTGTAAAACACTGGTTAGGGCTCAGCTCAAGACTGTGTTCAGTTCTGGGCCCCACACTTTAGGAAGGATGTCAAGGCATTGGAAAGGGTTCAAAAGAGATTGACCAGGAAGGTACCAGGAATGAGGGACTTCAGGTATCAGGAATAAGGGACTTCAGGTATCAGGAGAGGATAGAGAAGCCGGGATTATTCTCTTTGGGGTAGAGAAGGTTAAGAGGAGACTTAATAGAAGTTTTCAAAATGATGAGGGGATTCGAAAGGGTGAACAAGGAGAAACTATTTCCACTGGCGGGTGGGTCGGTAACCTGAGGACACCGATTTAAAATAGTCATTAAAAGATACAGAGGGGAGGTGAGGAGGAATTTTTTTTACATACAGCGAGTTGTTCAGATCTGAAAGGCATTGCCTAAAAGGCTGGTGGAAGCTGATTTGATAACAACTTTTAAGAGAGAAGTAGATAATTATTTTGGAAGAACAAGTTTGGGGAGAGTGGGGTTGAACTGGAATCTCTTTTCAATGATCCAACACAGACACAATGGGCCGAAAGGCCTCCTTCTGTGTTGTACAATTCTATGATTCAAGAACCTCCTCGACTGCGCCTTCGGCCACAATCCTACCCTCCACCCCTCCATGCATCCCACCCCCTCCGTTCCCTCCACTCTCCTTGTACCCCACCCCTCCCTGCACCCCACCCCTCCGTACCTGAATTGCCTACACCACACACACACACACACTCACAACCACAGCCTGAGGGTGAGGGTGTCACACACACACACTCACAACCACAGCCTGAGGGTGAGTGTGTCACACACACACACACTCACAACCACAGCCTGAGGGTGAGTGTGTCACACACACACACACTCACAACCACAGCCTGAGGGTGAGTGTGTCACACACACACACACACACTCACAACCACAGCCTGAGGGTGAGTGTGTCACACACACACACACATACAACCACAGCCTGAGGGTGAGTGTGTCACACACACACTCACAACCACAGCCTGAGGGTGAGTGTGTCACACACAAACACACACACAACCACACAACCACAGCCTGAGTGTGAGTGTGTCACACACACACACACACACACACACACACACACACAACCACACAACCACAGCCTGAGGGTGAGTGTGTCACACACACACACACACACACACACTCACAACCACAGCCTGAGGGTGAGGGTGTCTCACACACACACACACTCACAACCACAGCCTGAGGGTGAGTGTGTCACACACACACACACTCACAACCACAGCCTGAGGGTGAGTGTGTCACACACACACACACACACACTCACAACCACAGCCTGAGGGTGAGTGTGTCACACACACACACACACCACTCACAACCACAGCCTGAGGGTGAGTGTGTCACACACACACACACACACACACACTCACAACCACAGCCTGAGGGTGAGGATGTCTCACACACACACACACTCACAACCACAGCCTGAGGGTGAGTGTGTCACACACACACACACACACAACACACACACACACACTCACAACCACAGCCTGAGGGTGAGTGTGTCACACACACACACACACACTCACAACCACAGCCTGAGGGTGAGGATGTCTCACACACACACACACTCACAACCACAGCCTGAGGGTGAGTGTGTCACACAACCACACACACACAATCACAGCCTGAGGGTGAGTGTGTCACACAACCACACACACACAATCACAGCCTGAGGGTGAGTGTCTCACACACACAACCACACAAATACACAACCACACACAGATTCACACACACAAACACAACCGCAACCTGAGGGTGAATCACACACACACAACCACGCACACAACCTGAGGGTGTGTCACACATACACACAATCACAGCCTGAGGGTGAGTGTCACACACACACACACACACACACACCCTGAAGGTGAGTCACAGTTTGAGGGTGTGTTGGGGGTGAGGGGGAGTGTCGGGGGTGTTTTGGTGGTTTATGGTACAGACTGTACCCGGTAACCCCCCCGTTGCCCCCTGACAGGCTGCTGGGATGCGAGCGGAGCTGGAGGCGCTGCCTCCCCTGGTGGTCCCGAGGCTGAGTATGCGCGGCGAGGGCGAGGGGGGGGGGCAGGACCCCGGCCTGGGGGCTCTGAGGAGGAAGACCAGCCAACTCCTCGACAGCCTCCAGCACATAAGTGCCAGCATGAAGGTCGTCTCCTTGTGCCCCTCACAGCCAGGTCAGTGTCCAGTGTGTGTGTGTCCTGTGTGTGTGTGTGTGTGCTCACTGTGTGTGTGTGTGTGTGTGTGTGCCCAGTATGTGCGCATGGTGTACGTGTGGTCAGTATGTGTGTGACCAGTATGTGTGTGTGTGCTCACTGTGTGTGTGTGTGTGTTTGTGCCCAGTATATGCGCACGGTGTACGTGTGCTCAGTGTGTGTGTGACCAGTATGCATTCCCTGTGTGTGTGCTCACTGAGTCTGTGTGTGCCCAGTGTGTGTGGGCTCACTGTGTGTGCGTGTGTGTGTGTGTGTGTGGGGGGGAAGCACTGACGTGTGCATGGGTGGGGCAGGGGGAATTGACGTGTGTGTGGGGGGGGTGGGCACTGACGTATGTGTGTTGGGGTGGGTACTGGCGTGTGTGTGTGTGTGTGGGGCCATTGACGTGTGTGTGGTGGGGGGACTGACGTGTGTGTGTGTGGGAGGGGGGGACTGATGTGTGTATGTGTGTGGGGGGGGAGTGACGTGTGTGTGTGGTGGGGGGTGCACTGACGTGTGTGTGTGGGGGGGGCACTGACGTGTGCGTGGTGGGAGGGGGGCACTGACGTGTGTGCGTGGGGGGGCGCTGACGTGTGTGTGTGTGTGGGGGGGGCACTGACGTGTGTGTGTGACAGCTGGAGGAGCCGCCGAGGTGAGGGCGCGACCGGCAGCTCAGCTCCTGGAGCAGGCAGCACAACTGCAACAGCTCAGGGACACCGTCAATCGCATCAAGGTAACAGCTCAGCACACACAGCCTGTATGTACGCGCGCAACACGCACACCCTGCACACGCACACACCCTGTGCATACACACCCACTCTGTACATACACCCCCTGCACACACTCACTCACATCCATTACACGCAAACATCCTGTACACACACACACACCCTGTACACACACATTCCATACACCCAGGGAGGTGCCATGAAGGATTTGAAATCAAAATGGCCAGTAAACAGCCGGGGGGCAGACAGTGCTGAGTCAGCCCGGTACACGGCATTGGACTCGGACCTTGAGAACATCAAGGTGGTGGCATGTCACACACTGTCCTGTAAAGGTCCTCCCACCACACTGAAGGCAGATTCCTGTCAGATAGCTGCTGAGGAGGCTCTGAGGTTTGGGGCGACAGCTGCTGAAGGTGAGACCTGGATCCCAGTCCACATGCCCAGCGCCGGGACCCCACCCCGATTGGCCGCAGAGAGACCGGCAGCTGCTGCTTAAACTCCACACCTCCAACTGGTGGGACCATCCCTCAGTGGGAAGGGACACGGCCCGAGCTGTGGGCAGGAAGATGGTGGCAAAGCTCTCACACGTTTCATGCTGAGCTGTGTTCCCCAACGAGAAGTTCACAGTGTCAAACGACCAACTACAATAATAATTCTTACATTTGATATTTGGGCCTTATCACATCTTCGAGACATCTCAAAGCCCTTCACAGAATGTACTGTGAAGTGAATTAACTGTATATTTTGTGGGTGAAACGCGGCAGCCAATTGCGCGCAGCAGTGTCCCACCAACAGTGTTGGATTGAAGTGAGCAGTTTATTATTATTTTTTAAAAGTTTGTAGGGATTATTACCCTTGGAAAAGCGATCCACCAGTCGACTAACAAGTGGGTTCCTGCCTACTGCTAGTTAAACAGAGGCGTGTAGAGTAAGGAAACTTGCCTAAGGTTTCCCCTGCCCGGGAATCGAACCCACACCACCTGTTTGCGACGCGAGTATCTCTAACCACTGAGCTACAGGATTCCACAGGACGTCCCGAGGTCCTGGACAGTCAGGGGTTTGGACTCGAGTTGGGATTGGGAGGGGTGGAGGGCCGGGAGGATGATGATTGTGGCTCGTGTTGTGGCCAAGGCTGACCGGTCAGTGACTCTTGTGTTCAGGATGAAGTGGATCGTGTGTCGGCCGGCCAGAGGACGGGCACTCGCGTTCCCTCAGACTTTGCCACCTTCCCATCGCCCGCCTACACCAAGGTCAGTCAGTGCCAGGTGGTCAGTGTGTGGGTTTCCGGGGTGGGGGCTGTGCTGGGGGTGGGGTGGCTGTGTTGTGTGGGTGGGGGTCTGTGCTGGGTGAGGCTGTGCTGTGGGGGTGCTGTGGTGTGCTGGGGGTGTCTGGGCTGTGCTGGGGGAGACTGTGCTCGGGGTGGGGGGGTGGTCTCTGTGGGGGCTGTGATGTCAGTGTGTGCGTGTTACAGGCTCGGGCGGAGCTGCCTGTGTACTTGGGGAAGGTAACGGTGCCGTGTGAGGATGGTCGGGGGCAGCTTCACCGCATCATCGTCCAACAGGAGCAGCTCCAGCAGCTACACAGCCGCCTCATCTAACCCCGGCAAAGCCCCCTCCCCAATATAGCCCCCTTGCATACACTACCACCCTCGTATAGCACCCCCACCCTGGCACAGCCCCCCCATGGTCCCCCGGTACAGCCCCTCCCCCAAACACCCCCATCCCCAATATAGCCCCCCAACATACCCTTCCCTCCCCCATACACCTCACGAGTATAGACCCCCCCCCACCCTGATATAACCACTGCACATCTAGATACAGCCACCCCCCGCACAGCGCCCCCTCATATACTCTCGCACAGCCCCCCGCCCCCACAATACCTCCAGCCTGATATACTCCGTCTCTGAGCTCCCCCTTCCCCCCTCCCCGAGCCCCAACTCCTTCCATGATCTCCTCCCCCACTCCCTGTGCTCCTCCCCCCTCCCTGTGCTCCTCCCCCCTCCCTGAGCTCCTCCCCCTCCCTGAGCTCCTCCCCCCTCCCTGAGCTCCTCCCCCTCCCTGAGCTCCTCCCCCTCCCTGAGCTCCTCCCCCTCTCTGAGCTCCTCCCCCTCCCTGGCTCCTCCCCCTCCCTGAGCTCCTCCCCCCTCCCTGAGCTCCTCCCCTCCCTGAGCTCCTCCCCCCTCCCTGTGCTCCTCCCCCCTCCCTGACTCCTCCCCCTCCCAGTGTTCCTGCACCTTCCCCCTGTGACTCACTGTAATGTGTGTAAATCATTGTAACTGATCACTAACCACTAATAAACCTTTACTGACTGATTTTTGTTATTTTTCTCTTTATTTGAACCATTTCCTCCACAGCTGGATTCAGTTTGTGGGGTCCCAGAGCCGGTGTAGTTTGGGCCCCTCTTTCCATATTCAATACCTTTTCTTTATTGTTTTACCATCACCCAAACCCGCAGCGATTGATATAGCATCTTATCACGTTTTCGAGACATCTCAAAGTGCTGCATAGATTATACTATAAAGTGAATTGACGGCAGAGGTGAACCTGGACTCCCACAACCTGAACCCCAAGAGTGAGGGACAGAGGGAATATAATACAAATTTACGTTAGGAGAATGCCTTTCACTTCGGGAGGACATCCATATGAGAGAGAGGGGTGGAGGGAGAGAAAGAGAAAGCATGTGAGGAGAGAAAGAGTGAGAATGAAGGGTGGAGGGAGAGAGAAAGAAGTGGGGCTGTGCTGGGACTCGGCCTCCCCCGGCTGTGTCCTGTAATGGGATGTGATACTATTAAAGTTTTTCTTTAGTGTAAATCTTATTATCACTTTTACAGCTTGTTTATATAATCACTAGCTGTATCCGTTGCAGCTACACTTGCAACCAGTTTCATTTAATCGGCCTTCTCTCTTTCGTCTAACATTTTTATTTGTAACTTGAAAGGTTTGATCATCGCTTATTGGGCATCTATTAAGATTAAGAAAATGTGCCGTTGAACTCGTTAGCATCCGTTTTTCACATATTTGCTCACATACAGTGGATGGATTACACCTGAACAGGAGAGAAATGCAGAACAGACTAAGTTGGTTTTAGAGTGGATGCACGGAGTGTGACAAATAAGGTTGGTGAGCTGCAGACTCAAGGTGCCACATGGGGTTATGATGTAGTGGCAATAATGGAGACAAGGCAGGTGAACCTTATGATGAACCTTTAAAAAACACTGGTTAGGCCTCAGCTCGAGACTGTGTTCGGTTCTGGGCATCACACTTTAGGAAGGATGTCAAGGCATTGGAGAGGGTGTAAAGGAGATTTATCAGGATGGTACCAGGAATGAGGGACTTCAGTTATCAGGAGAGGATAGAGAAGCCAGGATATAGCAGAGCTCAAAAACAAAAGTTTTCCCAAATCTCAGCCATAACTACACAAATCATACGTGGTTGTGTGAACGAGCAATCCCGGCTTCAAAAGATGAGTCTGCAGCGAGATCAATTCCCAGCTACTCAATGGCATCCCTGGCCAAGAAACTGTACAAGACCATAGATACTGCTCCTGACATCAAAACTACTGTCAACTACCGAACTACGTTTTTAAACTCTTCAGAACCATCCGGTCAGTATGCCTTCACACAAACTCATACTAAAGCTTGGATGCATAACCACGCTGCTGAGGAATCTAGATGCACTGAAGCTATGCAATGGCACAAGGTTGGTGGTAAAGCAGTTGATGCCACATGTTATAGAAGCAATTTTCCGACTGGTCAGTTCAAAGGGAAGCTGTATTCATTCCTTGCATCCCACTGCTCCCAAGTGACTGCCCGTTTGTGTTCAAAAGGCTCCAATTCAGGAATCTGAAGAATTCATGGATCGAATGTTTCGGGAGGCGGTCACCCCACAGCCACAGAGTGTTCATGAGGAAATAGAGTGTGTGACCACCTGGAAGAGGGGACGGGCACTGCAGAAATCCCCTGAGAGTGTGGCACTCACAAACCGGTTCTCTACTGAATACCAGTCAGGGTGATGACACCTCTGGGGAGAGGAGTCAAAAACAAATGGATGCACAGGGGGACACAGAGAAGAGTGTCAATGCAATTGTCATTGGGGACACAATGGAGTAGACAGACGTTTCTGCAACCAAAGATGTGACTCTCGCATGGTATGTTGCCATGATGTCCGATCCATGACAGGTTGTGGAGTCCTGTAGCTCAGTGGTTAGAGCACTCTCTTTGCAAGTGAGAGATCTGAGTTCAATTCCAGGCAGAGGGCGAAACCTTGGGCAAGTTTCCTTACTCCACACAGAGCCTAATAATAATCCCTCCAAAACAAAAACAATAATAAATTGGTCATTTTCAATCTACGACTGTTTGTGGGACATTGCTGTGCGCAATCGGCCGCCGCTTTCCCCCACAAATATACAGTCAATTCACTTTACAGTGTGTTCTGTGAAGCGCTTTGGGACGTCCTCCCGACGTGAAAAGTGCTATATCAAATGCAAGGATTATTATTATTATCCATGTAGAGAAAAAAGAGCTGAGATCCTACAGGGAGAAGCTAGGGAAAAAGCTAAAGAGTAGGACCTTAAAGGTGGTGATCTCTGGATTACTCCCAATGCCTCACAGCAGGATCAAACATATGTGTGCATAGCTGGAGAAATGGTGCAGAAAGGAAGGCTTCAGATTCCTGGAATATTGAGACCAGTTTTGGGCAGGTGGGACCTGCACAGGATGGATGGGTTACACCTGAACAAGGCTGAGACCAATGTTCTCACAGCGAAGTTAACTAGTGCTGTGGGGAAAGGTTTAAACTAATTTTGAGGGGGGAAGGGAATCCGGATGTAACATCAGGGAGGAGAAACATGTTACTTAGAGGGCTGGGAAAGATAAATAGCAATGTAGTCCAGAAAAAGGAGGGATAAGAAGGGGGAGAAATGCAGAGCAGACTCAGTTGGTCTTGGAGTGCATATACGTAAATGCATGGAGTGTAACAAATACGACTGATGAGCTGCGGCTCAAGTTGCCACATGGGGTTATGAGGCAGTGGCAATAACGGAGACCTGGCTCAAACAAGGGCAGGAATGGGAGCTGAATATTCCTGGCTACAATCAATTTATTCAGGAGGGACAGGGAAGGAAAAAAAGGAGGGAGGGGTGTCAATATTGATTAAAGACATGGTTACGGCCCTGGAAAAGGATGATGTGCTAGAGGGTCCAAAAACAGAATCTATTTGGTTAGAGTTAAGGAGCAGACTCTGTTACTCTGTTAGGCGTATACTATAGACCACCAAATAGTGGGAAAGAGATAGACGAGGAAATCTGCAAGCAGGCTTCAGAAAGGTACAAAAACAATAAGAGTAGTGATAATGGGGGATTTCAATTATCCAAACATAGACTGACAAAATAACAGTATAAAGGGCAAGGAGGGGAAAGGATTCTTGAAATGTGTGCAGGATAACTTTCCGGATCAATATGTTTCCAGCCCAACGAGGAAGGAAGCAGTGCTGGATCTAGATCTGGGGAATGAAATGCGGCAAGTGGAGTAGGTTTCAGTAGCAGAGAATCTGGACAACAGCGATCACAACATCATTAGGTTTAGAGTACTTATAGAAAGGGACAAGGAGCAATCAAAGGTGAAGATGTGGTGGGGAGGGGGAGATGATGGGGTTGTGGTGGTGGGGGGGAGATGATGGGGTTGTGGTGGTGGGGGGGAGATGATGGGGTTGTGGTGTGGGAGGAGATGATGGGGTTATGGTGGGGGGAGAGATGATGGGGTTGTGGTGGGGGGGGAGAGATGATGGGGTTGTGGGGGGGGGGGTGGAGATGGAGGGATTGTGGGAGGAGATGGAGGGATTGTGGGTGGAGATGGTGGGGTTGTGGGGGGGGGGGGGTGGAAGAGGGGCTTTGGGGGGGGGGGGGGAGTTCTAGAGGTGAGAAGTGTCAGATCTGATGATTCAGCCACCGATTTGTGTGTGTGTGTGTGTGTGTGTGGTTGGGGGGGGGGTTGGGGGGCTGGTGGCGAGTGAACAGAAAGCCCAAGTTAGCCACGTGGATGGTTGAACAGTGGAGTGGGGTCAGGGGAGATTGAAGAGGAAGTACTGGAGTGTAAAGGAAAGGGATCTATAGGTGAGGATGAGGACTTGCCAACGTGCAGTCAAAGGAGGCTGATAAAATGTGGGGGTGTGGAGTTTGGTGAGGGTGAGAGTTTCGTATGAGTAGAAGTGGGGGAGTGAGGGAGACCAGCAGAGCATTAGGCAAATCTAAGCCGTTGGATGTCAATCGTGACAATTCTCTTCCTCCTCCTCCCCCAGAGAGAGAGAGAGAGAGAGGGGTAAGTGGGGTCTCTGTGGAGCAGAACTGGCTCAAGTGATGTCGCTGGGAATGGAATTAAGTCAATTCTTTGTCTCACTCACTCAGTTCCCTTAACCCTGAAAGCTGAACGGGGAGGGTGGTCCCAGCTCGACAAGCAGCAGGAAAGCGTACCAGACTGCAATAGCAATGGTTAGACTCCAGCAGTTACCCCAATGCACACTCGCTCTCACACTGACACTCTCACACACACTCACTCTCACACTGACACTCTCTCACACACTCGCTCTCACACACTCACTCTCACACTGACACTCACACACACTCACTCTCACACTGACACACTCCCACACACTCTCACACACTGACAGTCTCACACATTCACTCTCACACTGACACTCACTCTCACAACTCATTCTCACTGACACTCTCACTCTTGACACTCACTCTGAGAGTTAACATTCCGACATTCACTCTCTCATTCACTCTCACAATCACACGGAAACATTCAGTCACTCTAATACACTCAGATTCACTCCACTCACACATGCACAGCAATGCTGATAATCCTTGCATTTGATATAGAGCTTTATCAGGTCTTCGAGACGTTTCAAAGCACTTCACGGAATATACTGTAAAGTGAATTGACTGTATATTTGTGGGCGAAGCGCGGCAGCCAATTGCGCACAGCAATGTCCCACAAACAGTCGTGGATTGAAGTGACCAATTTATTATTGTTTTTTTTCTTGAGGGATTATTATCAGGTGTGGAGTAAGGAAACTTTCCTAAGGTTTCACGCTGACCTGCGGGAATCGAACCCAGGTCTTGCGCTTGCGAGGGCTCTAACTACTGAGCTACAGGACTCCAAGGACTGTGTGTAATGCACACAGTCAATCTGACACATTCACACTGACACGTTCACAGTCATAGATGCTTTCACACTGACCCTGACACACACGCTCAGCCAATCAGACATTCTCCGCCCATAAGTGTTGAGTCAGCAGATTCCATTCAAATGGAGATTAGACCTGAGTCAGCGTTAAACACTGTCACTGACAACTGGTGGGCAAAGGTATGTGAGCTGTCATGTATGTGTTCGGGTTGTGAAGTGTGTGAGGGGTGTGTGTTTGGGGTGTGTGGGGTGTGAGATGTGTATGTGGTTTGGGGTGATGGGTGTGTGTGTTTGGTGGGAGAGGTGTGTGTTTGCTGTGTGAAGTGTGCATGTTTGGGATGTTTGGTGTATGTGTGTTTGTATGTTTGGGATGTGTTTGTGTGTATGGGGCTTGGTGTGTTTGGGACGTGTGTTTGGGGTGTGTGATGTGTGTGTTTGGGGTGTGTTTTACTGTATGAGTTTAGTGCATTTGTGTGTGTTGAGGTATTGGTGGACGGGACTGTGGTGTGGGCAGGTGTGGTTGGGCTGTGGGCATGGGGGCGGGGTGGTGGGTTGTGGGCATGGGGCTGTGGGGGGCTGTGGGCAAGGGGTGGGACTGAGGTGTGGGGAGGTGCTGGGTGTGGGGGGGCTGGGAGCATGGGAGCTGTGGTGGGGCTGTGGGCATGGGGGGCGGGGCTGGGTGGGGCTGTGGGCATGTGGTGTGGATGGGGGTGGGTGGGGCTGTGGGCATGGGGGCGGGGCTGGGCATGACTGTGGGCATGGGGCGGGTGGGACTGTGGGCATGGGGGCGGGGCTGGATGTGGGTGGGGCTGTGGTTATGGGGCGGGGCTGGGTTTGGCTGGGGTTATGGGTATGGGGGCGGGGATGGACATGGCTGTGGTTATGGGGGCGGAGCTGGGTGTGGGTGGGGCTATGGGTATGGGGGCGAATCTGGGGATGGCTGTGGGCATGGGGGTGGGGCTGGGTGTGGGTGGGGCTATGGGTGTGGGGGCGGGGCTGAGTGTGGGTGGGGCTGTGGGCATGGGGGCGGGGCTGGGTGGGGCTGTGGGCATGGGGGCGGGGCTGGGCATGGCTGTGGGCATGGGGGCGGGGCTGGGTGGGCTGTGGGCATGGGGGCGGGGCTGGGTGTGGGTGGGGCTGTGGGCATGGGGGCGGGGCTGGGTGTGGGTGGGGCTGTGGGCATGGGGGCGGGTGTGGGTGGGGCTGTGGGCATGGGGGCGGGTGTGGGTGGGGCTGTGGGCATGGAGGCGGGGCTGGGTGGGGCTGTGGGCATGGGGGCGGAGCTGGTGTGGGTGTGGGTGTGGGTGGGGCTGACGTGTGTGAATTACAGGGAATATGATCCGCCTGATCCTCACTGCGACCGTCATCTCACTCTCCATCACCATAACAGGTAACAGCGTGGGGGGTATGTCACAGGGTGGGGAGGGGTATCGGGTGGGGGAGGGTATGTCACAGGGTGGGGAGGGGGTATCGGGTGGGGGAGGGTATGTCACGGGGTGGGGAGGGGGTATCGGGTGAGGGAGGGTATGTCACAGGGTGGGGAGGGGTATCGGGTGGGGGAGGGTATGTCACGGGGTGGGGAGGAGGTATCGGGTGGGGGAGGGTATGTCACGGGGTGGGGAGGGGTATCGGGTGGGGGAGGGTATGTCACGGGGTGGGGAGGGGGTATCGGGTGGGGGAGGGTATGTCACGGGGTGGGGAGGGGGTATCGGGTGGGGGAGGATATGTCACGGGGTGGGGAGGGGGTATCGGGTGGGGGAGGGTATGTCACGGGGTGGGGAGGGGGTATCGGGTGGGGGAGGGTATGTCACGGGGTGGAGAGGGGGTATCGGGTGGGGGAGGGTATGTCACGGGGTGGGGAGGGGGTATCGCGTGGGGGAGGGTATGTCACGGGGTGGGGAGGGGGTATCGGGTGGGGGAGGGTATGTCACGGGGTGGGGAGGGGGTATCGGGTGGGGGAGGGTATGTCACGGGGGGGGGGGGGGGGGAGCAAGACCATGGAGGGCTTTGAAGGTGAGGACCAGGATCTTGAACTGTATCCTCTGTGTGATGGGAAGCCGGTGGAGTCGGGTGAGGATGGGGGGTCATAGGGTCCCGGAGTCTGGTGCGGGAGAGGACACGGGCTGCAGAGCTCTGGATGATCTGCAGCCTACGGAGGGAGGAGATGGGGAGCCGACAAGCAGTGAGTTTGCATAGTAATGAAATGTAATGAAGTAATGAAGGCGTGTATGAGGGTTTCAGTGACTGCAGTGTGGTCACACGGGGTGAGGGGGTGTCACGGGGGATGAGGGGCTGTCACGGGGGGTGAGGGGGCATCACAGCGGGGAGGGGCATCACGGGGGGTTGACTAACCCTGTCCCTGGTTCCCAGCTGCAGATGATGGTGACCTGCGGCTGTTGGGTGGGGGGTTGGAGAGCGAGGGCCGAGTGGAGGTTCAATACCGCGGCCAGTGGGGCACCGTGTGTGATGACGAATGGGACATGGCAGACGCTCATGTGGTTTGTCGCTCTCTCGGCTACGCCAACGCCACACAGGCTGTGACCGGCGGCCGCTTCGGATCAGGTCAGTGAGGAGTGTGTGTGTTAGGGAGGGGGGGGTGTGTATGTCAGGAAGGGGTGCGTTTGTCAGGGAGGGTGTGTGTTTGTCAGGTTGGGGTGTGTGTGTGTCATTGAGGGGTGTGTGTGTCAGGTTGGGGTGTGTGTGTGTCAGTGAGGGGTGTATGTGTCAGGGAGTGGGGTGTCTGTGTCAGTGAGGGGTGTATGTGTCAGTGAGGGGTGTATGTGTCAGGGAGTGGTGTGTATGTGTCAGTGAGGGGTGTATGTGTCAGTGAGGGGTGTATGTGTCAGTGAGGGGTGTATGTGTCAGTGAGGGGTGTATGTGTCAGTGAGGGGTGTATGTGTCAGTGAGTGGTGTATGTGTCAGGGAGTGGTGTGTATGTGTCAGTGAGTGGTGTGTATGTGTCAGTGAGGGGTGTATGTGTCAGGGAGTGGTGTGTATGTGTCAGTGAGGGGTGTATGTGTCAGGGAGTGGTGTGTATGTGTCAGTGAGGGGTGTATGTGTCAGTGAGGGGTGTATGTGTCAGTGAGGGGTGTATGTGTCAGTGAGGGGTGTATGTGTCAGTGAGGGGTGTATGTGTCAGTGAGGGGTGTATGTGTCAGTGAGGGGTGTATGTGTCAGTGAGGGGTGTATGTGTCAGTGAGGGTTGTGTATCAGTGAGCAGTGTGTTTCAGTGAATGTGTAGGTATGTCAGTGAGGGGTGTGTGTGTCAGTGAAAGGCGGTGTATGTGTTACAGGCTATGTGTGTGTGTGTTAGACGGTGTGTTACAGGCGGTGTGTGTTGTTACAGGCGGTGTGTGTGTGTTGTTACAGGCGCGGGGCCGATCTTGCTGGATGATGTGAGGTGTTTGGGGACGGAGCGGTCACTGATAAACTGTAAAACCAAAGGCTGGAGTGTTCATGACTGTGAGCACTGGGAGGCCGCGGGGGTGCGGTGCGACACCAGCAACCACTTCCCAATGATGAGCAGCACCACCAGCGCAGCAGGTAACCCTGGCTATGTGTGTATCTGTAGCCGTCTGTGTCTGTGTGTATGTCACAGGCGGTGTGTGACTTGTATGCCACAGACTTGTGTGTTACAGACTGTGTGTGTCTGTACCCATCTGTGTGTGTGTCTGTGATCGTATCACTGACTCTCTCCGCTTTCTTTCACTTTCTAACTCTTTTACTTAATCTCTCTCAGTCTCTTTCACCCTTCTCTCTCTCACTGTATCTCTCGACTCTTTCAGTCTCACTCTACCTGTTTCTATCGTTCTTGCCCACATTTTCTCTCACTCTCTATATAACACAGGAATGTATGGCTGGAGAAATGGTGCAGAAAGAAGGGCTTCAGGTTTCCTGGAACATTGGGACCAGTTTTGGTGCAGGTGGGACCTGTGCAAGTGGATGGGTTACACCTGAACAGGGGTGGAACCAATGTCCTCACAGGGAGGTTAACTAGTTCTGTAGGGAAGGGTTTAAACTAATTTCAAGGGGGGAAAAGGATGTAACATTAAAGACGACAAATTACATAGAGGGCAGGGAGAGACGAACCGCAATGTAATAAGGAGTAGTCCAGAAAAAGGAGGGATTAGATGGGGGAGAAATGCAGAACAGATTAAGTTGGTCTTGGAGTGCATGTGCGTAAATGCACGGAGTGTGACAAATATGACTGGTGGGCTGCGGCTCAAAGAGCCACATGGGGTTGCGATAGTGACAATAACGGGTACAAAAGTCAGGAAGTTATGGTGAACCTTTATAAAACACTGGTTAGGGCTCAGCTCAAGACTGTGTTCAGTTCTGGACCCCACACCTTAGGAAGGATGTCAAGGCATTGGAGAGGATGCAAAGGAGATTGACCAGAATGGTACCAGGAATGAGGGGCTTCAGGTATCAGGAATAAGGGACTTCAGGTATCAGGAGAGGATAGAGAAGCCGGGATTATTCTCCTTGGGGTAGAGAAGGTTAAGAGGAAACTGAATTGTAATTTTCAAAATGAAGAGGGGATTCGATAGGATGAACAAGGAGAAACTATTTTCACTGGCGGGAGGATCGGTAACCCGAGGATTTAAAATAGATGTTAAAAGAAACAGAGGGGAGGTGAGGAGAAATTGTTTCACACAGCGAGTTGTTCAGATCTGGAATGCATTGTCTCACTCTTTCACACTCACTTTCTCTCGTGAGTGACTCTCCCTCTTTATCACATTTTCTCTCGTTCTCTGTGACCAGATCAGGCAGTTGCCAGGGTCACTCTGTCTCTTTCACACTCTCTCTGTCTTTCTGTCTCTCAGTCTGCCTGTCTCTCGCTCTCTCTGTGTGACTCTCACTCCCTCTCTGTTTCACACTCTTTGGTGTCTCACACATTCTCTCTTTCTGTCTCTCACGTACACTCTCTCTCTCTCGGTCTCCCACATACACTCGCACTGTCTCACAATCTCTAGTCTCTCATACACACTCTTTGTCTCTGTCTCTCACGCTCACACTCTTTGTCTCTCTGTCATTCACATAGACTCTCTCTCTCGGTCTCCCACATACACTCGCACTCTGTCTCACAATCTCTCTCGTCTCTCACACACTCTTTGTCTCTCTGTCACTCACATACACTCTCTCTCACACAGACCAGGCTGAGTTCCCGGGGTACCACCTAGAACGCCCCATGGAGCTGCAGCAGTCACTATCGCTGTTGTACCTGAGCCAGAAACACTGTCAGGTGAAGATCCTGGTGCTGACGGCGCAGGGTGGCCCGGTGCGGCTCCACCTGTGCGCACATCGCCTGATCCTTGCCCTCAGCCAGGACGGCAACAGCCTGAGCCACAACCGTTCCTCAGGCATCCAACTGGTGGTGCCCTCAGACTGTCTGGCCTTCGTAGAGGACTTCATCAGGTCAGAGAGAGTGAGAGAGAACAGGGGGAGTGTAAGAGAGGGGGAGTGTGAGAGAGAGTCAGAGCCTGAACTGCCTCAGGTACTTCCACAACAAGATCATAGACATCACGCTGACCTCAGTGGCATGTGTATAATAATCCTTGCATTTGATATGGCGCCTTATCACGTCTTCGAGACGTCTTAAAGCGCTTCACAGAATATACTGTGAAGTTTTGTGGTCGAAACACGGGAGTCAATTGCACACAACAGTGTCCCACAAACAGTGATTATAGGCTTTGTTGTGAAATGGGTGAAAGGAACTATTTCTGCAGACTCTGCTCCCAAACAGGAGAGCAACTCATCCCCCCGGATCTGAAGATATAATATTCTAATTTCTCCCAGCTCTGCTTGGGTTTGGAATGTGTTTTTTTGTTAGTGAGACACAAAGGAGAGTGAGAAAGCAGAATCTGGAAACGGGAGAAAAAACATTTTCATTGGAAATTGTGAGAATTTATTATTTTTTTTGGAACGAGTCGTTGCTTTTCTTCCATAATTCTGGGGTTTTGATGTCAAGTTTTAGTATCTTTATTGCACCCCGAGCTGATATCAGCAAACTCAGCACAGACCAGCTGTATGAGAGGGAGGGAGAGTGTGTGATAATAATAATAATCCTTGTATTTGATATGGCGCCTTATCACGTCTTTGAGACACCTCAAAGAGTCAAGACAGAGAGAGTGATGGAGAGTGTGGGGGGAAGAGTGTGTGAGAGAGGAAGGGAGTGTGTGTGTGTGTGAGGGAGGAAAAGTGTGTGAGGGAGGGAGTGTGTGTGTGTGAGGGAGGAAGAGTGTGAGGGAGTGTGTGTGGGAGAGGGAGTGTGTGAGGGAGTGTGTGAGGGAGTGAGTGAGTGTGAGTGAGTGTGTGAGTGATTGTGTGTGAGGGAGTGAGTGAGTGTGTGTGAGTGAGTGTGTGTGTGTGAGTGAGTGTGTGTGAGGGAGTGAGTGTGTGTGAGGGAGTGAGTGTGTGTGAGGGAGTGAGTGTGTGTGAGGGAGTGAGTGTGTGTGAGGGAGTGAGTGAGTGTGAGGGAGTGAGTGTGTGTGAGGGAGTGTGTGTGAGTGAGTGTGTGTGAGTGTGTGTGTGAGGGAGTGAGTGTGTGTGAGGGAGAGTGTGAGGGGGGGAGGGAGAGCCTGACCAGCCGTGTCCCCCCCCCCCCCCTCAGGTACTTCTACACCAAGAGCATGGACATCACTCTGGCCTCGGTGCGGTGTGTGCACGAGCTGGCGAGCAGTTACGGGGTGCGGGCGCTGCGGGAGGCCTGTCACCAGCTGCTTTACCAGCTGCTGCCCCAGGACCGCAGCTTCGCGCTCCAGCTGCAGCTGTACAGCTACGCCGAGGCCGCTCAGGAGGCCGAGCTGCGGGGCCTGTGCCTGCGGTACCTGGCCCTGAACTGCCAGGCCTTCAGCCAGTCCTCGGCCTGGCTCCGGCTCGAGGCCCGGCAGCTGTCGGCGCTGCTGCTCCGCTCCGACCTGGTGCTGCACGGCGAGCTGTCCCTGTACCGGGCGGTGGAGGCCTGGCTCCTGCCCCGGGCGGCGGGGCCGGGGCTGCGGCACGAGCTGCTCGGGCGGCTCCGCTTCGCCATGTTCTCGCCCGAGCAGCTGGTGGCGCTGCAGAGCCAGCGCGGGCCCGAGCTGCAGCGCGACAGCTTCCTGCTGCAGCGCCTGCTCCAGGCCTTCCGCTTCCACTCGCTTCCGGTGGCCAGGCTGGGGGCGGGGCTGGGGGTGGAGCCGCGCATCTACACGGGCCCCGATTGGACCGCGCTGCTGCCGCTCGAGCCGGCCGACCCGGGGGCGCCGCCGGACCCCGCCCCCGCGCTGCGCTACGACGGCTTCCGGTACGTGCACCAGCTGAGCTTCCGGCGCCCCGCCTCCCCCGGCCTCACCTTCAGCACCGCGCGCTTCCCCAGCCGCTACTACAGCTCCGTGCGCGTGCGCTGGGCCGCGGCCTATCACCCGAGCGCCCAGGCCTGTCGTCACAGCCAGGCCTCCTGCCCCCCCCGCGGCTACCCCGTGGTGACGCTCAGCCCGGACCCCGCCCACCCCGGCCCTGACCCCGCCCACCCCGGCCCTGACCCCGCCCACCCCGACCCTGACTCCGCCCACCCCGGCATCGCCTACCGCAACCTGGTGCTGTTCCTGTGCGGCAGTCAGGTGGCGCTCGCGCTCCCGCTGCAGGGCGGCCGCGCCGCCGTCCCCTCCTTCACGGCCCTCGGCCCCCACTTCAGCTGCGACTCCGGATTCTCCGCTCTCCGCTTCGTGGTCAGACCCACCGTCACTCACTGACTCGCCCTCTCCCACCCACACAGTCGGTCTGCATCGCGTCACCGCGTGTGTCACCGTGTGTGTCACCGTGTGTGTCACTGTGTGTGTCACTGTGACTGTGTCACTGTGTGTGTCACTGTGACTGTGTCACTGTGTGTGTCACTGACTGTGTCACTGTGTGACTGTGTGTGTCACTGTGTGTCACTGTGACTCACTGTGTGGCTGTGTGTGTGACTGTCACTGTGTGTGTGACTGTGTCACTGTTTCACTGTGTGTGTCACTGTGTCACTGTGTGTGTGACAGTGTCACTGTGTGTCACTGTGTGTGTGACTCACTGTTTCACTGTGTGTGACTGTCACTGTGTGTCACTGTGTGTGTGACTGTGTCACTGTGTGTGTGACTGTGTGTGTGTGACTATGTCACTGTGTGTGCGTGACTGTGTGTGTATGTGTGTCACTGTGTGTGACTGTGTCACTGTGTATGTGTGTCACTGTGTGATTGTGTGTGTGTATGTGCGTGTATATGTGTGTCACTGTGTGTGACTGTGTCACTGTGTGTGTGTGACTGTGTGTATGTGTGTCACTGTGTGTGACTGTGTCACTGTGTGTATGTGTGTCACTGAGTGACTGTGTGCGTGACTGTGTGTGTATGTGTGTGTATATGTGTGTCACTGTGTGTCACTGTGTGTGCGTGACTGTATGTGTATGTGTGTCACTGTGTGTGACTGTGTCACTCTGTGCGTCAAATGACATTCTGTCCATCAGTGACCAGGGCTCCCGCTGTCTCCTCATCCTCTTTGACCTCTCTACGGCTTTTGACACCGTCGACCACTCTATCCTCATCCACTGCCTCTTCCCTCACCTCAACCTCCACGGCACTGTCCTTGATTGGTTCAGATCGTACCTCTCACACCGCCTGCACTTCATCTCCTCCAATGGCTTCTCCTCCAGCCCCCGGACCATCTCGTGCGGCGTTCCTCAGGGCTCTGTCCTTGGTCGCCTCCTCTTCAATACCTATATGCTCCCTCTTGGTGACATCATCCGCAGACATGGGGTCAACTTCCACATGTATGCGGATGACACCCAACTGCACCTCTCTGCCTCCACCATTAACTCCAGGACCACTGCTGTCCTGACAGAATGTCTGTCAAAACTTAAGTCCTGGATGAGACCTAACTTTCTTCAATTGAACATCAACTCACCTCAGGCGCTGACAGCATCACAATCCATGGTTGCACACTCCACTTTGCTAAGCCAATCTGGATCCTTCGGGTCCTGTTTGACCATCAATTATCCTTTCTATCCCACATCTGCGCCATGACCCACTCTGCCTTCCCCCACCTCCGCAACATCGCCCATCTCCACCACTGTCACAACGCAGGCCGCTGAAACCCCATACATGCTTTCATTACATCGAGGCTTGACTATGCAGACTCCTTGCCTGTTGGCCTCCCCAACTCCTCCCTCTATAGGCTGCAGAACATCCAGATGTCTGCAGCCCATGTCCTCACCTGCACGAGGCTCCGCAACTCTTATCACCAACATCCTCACCTGAAACCACTGGCTTCCCATCACACAGAGGATACGGTTCAAGATCCTGATCCTCACCTTAAAGCCCTCCACAGTCTTGCTCCCCCTATTTCTGTGACCTCCTAACCCCCTACCATCCTGCTCACTCCTTCTGCTCAGCGGGCACCGACCTGCTTCACGTCCCCCGCCTTGCTCGCCCACTATTGACAGGTAGGCCTTCTGCCACTTTGCCCCCATCTACTGGAACACCATCACGCAGTCCCTCTGCCTCGCCCTCTCCCTCGCCACCTTCAAGACCCATCTCAAGACCATCCTCTTCGATCGTGCTTTCAATCTCCTTGCTTCACCCCTGCCCTCCTTCCTCCCCACTCCGACCCTCAGTTCGGGTCCATAACTCCGTCCGTCCAGCGCCTTGGGACATCCTCTGGACGTGAAAGGTGCTTTACAAATGTAATTTTGTTATTGTGTGTGTGTGTCACTGTATGTCAGTGTCATGGTGTGTGTATGTGTCACTGTGTATCACTGTCAGTCTGTGTGTGCCAGTCTGTGTATGTGTGTGTCAGTGTGTATGTCGGTGTGTGTCACTTTGTGTGTCACTTTGTGTGTTGCTGTGTGTCGGTGTGTGACACACACTGACAACACACACTTTGTCAGCGCGTGTGCCAGTGCCCTTCTTATTTCCCTTTTCAGTTCTCCTCTGTACTTTCTATATTCTGTTTGATTTTCTCCTGTATTTTGGACCTGACATTTATCATAAACCTCCTTTTTCTATTTTATCTTAATCCCGATTTCCTTATTCGTCCAGGGAGGTTTGGATGCCCGACCTTTCCTCTTTTGGGAATGTTTTTGTTCTGTCCCTGAACGATCTCCTCCTTGAAGACTTCCCATTGCTGATTAGCTGTTTTACCGGCCAATCTTTCTTTCTAGTCCACCTTGGTTACGTCCCTTTTTAACTCACTGAAATTAGCCCTCTTCCAGTTGAGTATCTTCACCTTTGATTATTCCTTGTCCCTTTCTATGTCCCTTGTCCTCTCTGATGCTGCATCAGACATTCCCTTACCCCCTCAAAATTAGTTTAAACCCTTCGCCACAGCACGAGTTAACCTCCCTGTGAGGATATTGGTCCTAGTCCATTCAGGTGTAACCCATCCACCTTGTACAGGTCCCACCTGCACCAAAACTGGTGCCAATATTCCAAGAACCTGAAGCCCTCCTTTCTGCACCATTTTTCCAGCCATGCATTCATGTGGTTGATCCTGCTGTTTTGATACTCACTTGTACGAGGCATTGGGAGTAAACCAGAGATTACCACATTTTGGGTCCTACTCTTTAGCTTTTTCCCGAGCTTCTGCTACTATCCCTGTAGGATCTGAGCCCTTTTTATCCCTACGTCATGGATCCCAACATGGACCACGACTTCTGGATGTTCCCTTTCCCCCGTAGAATGTTTTGCACCCGTTCTGTGATGTCTTCAACCCTGACACCAGGGAGACAACATACCATGTGAGAGTCACATCTTTGGTTGCAGAAACGCCTGTCTACTCCTTTCACAATTGTGTCCTCATTGACAATTGCATTAACACTCTTCCCTGTGTCCCCCAGTGCATCCATTTGCTTTTGACTCCTCTCCCCAGACGTGTCATCACCCTGACAGGTTAGGGTACAGAGAACTGGTGTGAATGCCACACTCTTGGGATTTCTGCACTGACCGTCCCCTCTTCCTACCATGCCAGATGGTCACTCACTCACCTTCTGACACCTTTGTGTCTGTGGGGTGACCACCTCCTGAAACGTTGGATCCATGAACTCTTCAGCCTCCTGTATGCTGGTGACACCAGCCTCTCCTCAAGCTCAGAAACCCTGAGCTCCAGCTCGAGCAGCCGTAGAAAGTGCCTCTTTCTACACATGTGTTTATCCAGGGCACACAAAGCATCTTGGAGTCACCACATGGCACACATTGTGCGTGCAACAGGTCTCTGTGCCCTGCCATATTCCCAGACATATTTTATATTATTTTAATGTAACTATTTTGTATTTTGTAATTATGCACCTCTTGTTCCTCTCTGCACCGAATTCCCTAACAGAATTCTCACTCAAGTGAGGATCTCGCAAGTCTTCCCTTTATGTAGGACTGAAACAAAAGCGCCCAATTTTGACTGGTCTGCAGATTTTTTAATCCCCAACGCCTGACCTACGTTTACCTGCTAATTGACTTGTTTGCCAGCTTTACGTATAAGGTTGCCTCTACTTTGAGATAGATTTCCCACTCTTCTGGTGAATCAGAATTCTCTCTTGCTCTCTGGTATATCTCTTGCTGAAGAATTCCCACTCTCACCAAATCTCTTAACAGAATTTTCACTCTGTTCCACCTCACACTCTGTGTGTGTGTATGTAACAGTTACATCAGAGATACATGTGTGAGTATCTAACTACGTATGACATGAATCACAGATGTACACAGACAGTTACGGGGGGCGGATTCACAGTGAATCACTGCAACACATATTGCAGCCGAGTGTATCTTGTGTCAAACACCGGGGATTTCGAATATTACACATTCAGTTCAATATTCATTGATTTCATGTTCGAAAGTCACTTTGTAAACAAATGATTGATGCTGGTATTAAACTGCTGCACATTTACAGCTCAGACATCACCGGCTGCGAGTTATAATAAAAAATAATAATTTAAATACATGGAAAACCGTGGGAATTGTGCTTTTAATATAAAATACATGTACCAATTGAGTACGTCTGTTTGGTCGATTGTTCAGACGAGTATTATTTCAAAAGCCTGACTCACATTTTCATTGAATGGTTTAAGTCGGCCAACAGTCCAGCCCGAGACCGTCTCTGACATTCCACCTTCCGCTGCCTCCCACCGTACCTCCCTCCCTGGTGAATGTCCTCCCCGGTGAATGTCCTCCCCAGGCAGCGGCAGCAGCCGGCGGTCGGGAGGATCCAGCGCGGACAGTGAATAATACCGGCCGTGACTGCAGTCTGTCAGGAAGGCAAGCGCGTCTCTCACCAAACGCATCCTCACCAACTTAGTCCTGCAGCGGCAGATAGTGACCCGCGCAACTGATAAGGGGAGAGAGGGATTGAGAGGAGCGAGAGCGTGTGTGCGAGAGAGTGAGAGGAGGGAGAGGGTGAGATTGAGAGAGAATATGAGGGAGAGGGGGAGAAAAAGAAACTGAGTGATTGAGGGGAATAGAGAAAATGTGTGAGAGGCGGAGTGAGAAAGAGTAATTGAGAGGGGATTAAGAGTGTGAGAATGTGAGGAGGAGTGAGAGTGTGTGTGTGGGGGGGTGTGAGGTGGGGGGAGAGAGTGATTAAGGGTGAGGAGAATTGAGGGCAGTGTTCTGTGGATGATTGGAGCCACCGCAGGGGACGCACAAGGACAGACACCGAGTTACCTCACAGAAACTCCCTCTTTCTCCAGTGACAAACTCCTCTATCCCCTTCGTTCACTCCCCACCCCACCCACTACCCT